TTGGCGTCGATGTAACCCTTTACTTGCCTTCAGTAATTTTCCGCTCGCATGAAGGCTTGCTCTCAGCGTTCTGAGATGAGATGAAGATCGAGGGCCATGTTGGCGTCATTGACTTCGGGATCATATTGGGCTACCCTTCGGGTAGGAAGGGTCACCTCCGTGGGAGCTTTAGCTTCGAAGCCGTAGCAAAGAGAGAAGGGTGTTTCACCTGTTGCTCGCCGAGGGGTGGTGCGGTAGGCCCATAAGATGTTGTAGAGTTCTTCTACCCAACCTCCCCCTTCGGCTTCTAGCTTCTTCTTTAGGCCCTCAAGCAAAGTCCGGTTCGCGTTCTCCACTTGACCGTTGCCCTGAGGGTAGGCAACGGATGAGAAGGTATGTTTAATGCCCCATGCTTCGAGGAGGGCACAGAAGGGAGCTGCCTCAAATTGAGTCCCGTTGTCGGAGATGATTTGGTGAGGGACACCGAACCTTGTGAAGATGTTTTTGAGGACAAAGTGGCAGCATCTGGCTTCGATGATGCTGGCGAGGGGCTCAGCCTCCACCCACTTGGTTAAGTAGTCAATGGCAACGATGATGTACCTGTTGTTGGAGGTACCCCTCGGCAGAGTGCCCACAAGGTCTTTGCCCCATCTGGCGAAGGGTATGGATGTGCTGATGGGGGCATAGTTGACCGCTGGCCTGCCGGGAGCCTTCTGGAAGTGTTGACAGGCAGCACACCTTCGGGCGAGATCCGCACAATCTCGGGCCATCGTAGGCCAGAAGTATCCTTGGACTATGAGCCTTCGGGACATGGAGAAGGGTCCCTGATGAGCTGAGCAAGTGCCACTGTGCACTTCCTCCATTGCCACTTCGGCTTCATCCGGATGAAGGCACCGAAGGAGGGTACCATTGTAAGATCTTTTGTAAAGCTTTCCGTTCTCGAGGGTGTAGCTGGCAGGCCTCAGTTTCGCTAGTTTAGCGATGGCTTCGTCCTCGGGAAGTCGCCCTGTGGTGATGAAGGTGATGATATTAGAGATCCAATCCTCCAGCCTTTGTTGAATTTGCATGATGGGGCTGGCGTGTATGCTTGAGAGGCTTAGCTCTTCTATCCTTGCAATTTTAGAGAGGTGCTCGGGGGATTCATCTAAGAGTTTTGATAAGATGTCGGCCTCAGAATTTTGAGCCCTCGGTATTTGAGTGATGGAATGAGCCTCAAATACCTTGAGCAATTCCTTGGTTGCTTCTCTGTATTGCTTCATTCTCACTTTCTTCGCTTCATATTCGCCAGAGAGCTGGCTGACCACTAGCTTGGAATCACACTTAACGTGGATCATCCTTGCTTTGAGGTTGGCAGCCAGCCGAAGGCCACAGAGGAGGGTTTCATACTCCGCTTCGTTGTTGGACACCTTGAAGGAGAAACGAATGGCGTAATAGGCCCGGAAGCCTTCGGGCGTGATGAGAACCACTCCTCCACAAGCTTTGGCGGCGGAGGAGCCGTCGGTGTAGAGGATCCACCATTCATCCGAGGGAGCTGAGGGCTCCTCATCTGCTGTTGATCTTGCCGTGCACTCCGTGATGAAGTCTGCCAGGGCTTGGCCCTTTATGGCAGACCTTGGATGGATGTCGATGTTGTATTGGCTTAGGAAGATAGCCCATTTTACCATTCAGGGGGAGCTGGTGGGACTCCTCATGAGGGCGCCGAGGGGTTGGTGCATGAGGACCTGGACCGGATGAGCTTGGAAGTAGTGGCCTAGTTTTTTAACGGTCCAAACGATGGCTAACACCGTTTTCTCCACAGGGGAATACCTGAGTTCCGCTTCCCTGAGGGTCTTGCTATCATAGAAGATGACATATTGGATGCCATCTTCCTCCCGGATGAGCACTGAACTGATGGCAGCCGGGCTGACTCCAAGGTAAAGGTATAGAGTTTCCCCTACCTTGGGTTTGGAGAGCACACGGGGTGAAGATAAATATCGTTTTAGCTCCTCGAAGGCCTCCTGGAATCTTGACGTCCATTGGAAGTCGGCAGTCTTCCTCATGATCTGTAAGAAGGGTAAGGACTTCTCCGCCGATTTGGATAGGAAGCGGTTGAAGGCTGCCAGGCGGCCCGTCAACCGTTGGAACTCCTTCATGTTGCGTGGGGGCTCCATGTTCATGATGGCCCGGATTTTCTCGGGGTTGGCCTCGATACCCCTTCGGCTCACCATGTAGCCTAAGAATTTGCCTCCTTGCATGCCAAAGGTGCATTTCTTTGGGTTTAGCCGAAGGTTGAACTTTTGCATGATGGCGAAGATCTTCCGGAGGTCGTCAGCATGGCTTGATGATTGTTTGCTTTTGACGATCATGTCGTCAACATAGGCCTCCATGGTGCGTCCCAGGACGGATTGAAAGACCTTGGACACCATCCGGGTTTAAGTGGCGCCTGAGTTCTTTAAGCCGAAGGGCATGACAAGGTAGCAGAAGATGGGGGTGGACAAAAATACCGAAAAATTGGTATACCGCACTTACCGTACCGAAAAATACCGGAAAATACCGAAATATTGGTATACCGTCATTTTCGGTACGATATCATACCGTACCGATCTATTTCGGTACGGTAACGGTAAATGTTTTCAAATACCGCGATATACCGGTATAATACCGTACCGACTCCCTACTCAACAATTATTTTTAATTCTAATACTACGTATATTGTAAAAATCCATTACAATTTTGAAGCTCAGAATTAATACTTGAGTTGGTTACAAATACAAAAATACAAAAATAAAAGCCCAATTTCTCAATCTCACTATAACCTTATAGGCTTCTACTACGCTAACCTTAATGACTAAATAATGAGTAATGTACAAATGTCAAGAAACTAGTCCATCTTGTTCCAAAAGCTTGCAAGTCGTGATGGTTGGGCCGCTAAGTAGTTGACGAGTGAAGAGAGATATACTTATGTGAGAAATGTATCTACATAGGGATTCCGCGGGTCGAGACACACAACTTTGTATGAAAGCTAAGTCTTATTTAATTTTTAAAAAATTATAAAAATAATTAAATACACAATATCATATTAGGAATAAATGTTTTTATATCCATGTTGTTTGAATAGTTTTATTTATTTTTGTTAGAGATCACTATTGATTTAATTATATCTATATTGTTCAAGTTATTTTAGGAGAATGTGTTACTTTTTAATATGTGGCATGTTGAACTGCTTAAATATACTAATACTAATAATAATTATTGTTACATATTGAATTGACATCAATAAATTATTAATTGTATTTCGTAACATTTTAATAATAGATTTAATATGTCGCTAGTAATAATGATTTAGTATATTTCGTTAGTCTATGATAATTTTTTGTATTGTGAGACATAAACGGTAATTTACCGATACTGTACCGTTACCGAACCGAAACTTCGGTATACCGAAATGCGGTATACCGAAACTTCGGTAAGGTAAAGGTATGCAAATTTTGCATACCGAAAGTTTTGGTATGACAAAGGTATGAGAAAAAATATAAGGTATACCGTACCGAACCACCCCTAGCAGAAGATGCCTTCGGGAGTCATGAAGGTTGTTTTTTCAGCGTCTTCCTCCTGCATGAAAATTTGGTGATATCCGCGGAAGGCATCGAGGAATGACATGATCTCGCACCCAACCGTTTCATCCACCAATTGATCAATATTTGGCAGAGGGAAAGGGTACATAGGGCACGCCTTATTGAGATTCGTGTAGTCCACGCACATGCGGAAGGTGGGTGGTTTTTGTGCGAGGACTACGTTAGCCAGCCATGAGGGGTACTTGACCTCCTTGATGTGCTTTATGGAGAGGAGCATGACAACTTCCTTCTTCATAAATTCCCTCCTCTCGGCCGAGAGGGGTCTTCTTCGTTGTTGTACAGATTTGGCCGAAGGGTCCACCGAGAGGCGGTGGGTGGTGACCTTTCGGCTGATTCCCAGCATGTCCTCCGCCCCCATGCAAAAACAATGGAATAGGCACGGAGGGCATCCGTGATGCCGGTCTTTAAATCTTCGGGGAGCTTGGCTCCAATCTTCACGACTCTCTCTGGCTTGGCCGGATTGAGCGCAAAGTCTTCTACCCCCTCAACCGGTTCGACCCTCGGTCTCCTCTCTTCTTCCTCTACAGCCCCAGTGATTGTGTCGACACGGAGCTCAGTCTTATTAGCCTTCTTTGTTATTTGGAGGTAGCAGGAGCGGGCGAGCTTTTGATTCCCCCGTGAGTACCCGATGCCTCCCTCAGCTGGGAACTTGAGGCATAGGTGCCTCATGGAGATGATGGCTTCCAGTACCTAGAGGGCGGGCCGACCGAGGATGATGTTGTGGGCGCAGTCGATGTTGACGACGACGAACTCTACTTCGAACTTGGCTCTATAGAAGCCCGTCGCCGAATAGTACCGGGAGGGTAATGACCCCATCGGAATCAATGGTGTCTCCAGTAAAACCGACAGAGGGGTTCGGATGGGCCGAAGGGACTCCCTCTCCAGATTTAGCTCCTTGAAAGTGCTGAGGTACATTACGTTGACGGAGCTACCGGTATCAACGTAAGTTCTCTAGACGATGGTGTTGTTGATCTCGCTTTGGATGACCAACGCGTCCCTGTGAGGAGAGGAAGCCCGGGGGAGATCGACGTTGGTGAAGGTGATGGGTTCTTCCCTAAGCCACTTCGCGGGGGGCATATGAGTGACTTCCCCCACGTATAGCGATTGAGCCCACTTCTTTCTTTGGCTCGTGGAGTCCCCCCTTGTGTTACCTCCAGTGATCATATGGATGTGGTGCTTCTTGTCATGCCCCAGACCACATCTAAGCGCGTGTACAACCGCCGTGTGATTAAGTGACGTCACTCGCAAGTCAACCTCACATAATCACACTAGGCGTTCATGAACATCGTTCACACCATACTCAGTAGTAAACATACATAGCAACATCACATCATAGATTGAATGAATAGCGGAAAATATTCAACGGTCAATCATAAGCCACATATGGCAAAACGTAGGCTTGCATGCCAAAACAATGTAATATTACAAAAGTATCCATGAGCATAGTTTATGATTTAAAAAAATGAAGGAAGCACGAAGGCCCTGCACCCAAGGCTCTAGCCTCTTTGAGGTATTTGGAGATCCTCACACAGAAATCTCCCTCACGTCTATCCCGAGATGCCCCTGAAACAGCCCTTGAAGCCCCCCCGGCTCCCTTGGCCCGATCCGCCTTGAGAGGCACGCCTAGCTTGGCGTCTAAGATCCCTCCTCAGCTTTTCCTTTTGATACCATTCAAATAGCTCACCCATCTGAGCAAAACGGGCATCACTTTCACTATTGTCATCATCATCATCCGTGTGGAAATCGCCCCCATCATATGGGGTTTCCTCATGTTCCGTTTCCGGAACGAAAGTTGAATCATAGTTCTGGGTGTTAGTCTCATACACCGAGCTCACGTGGCCATCGCTCACTGTTTGGGCGCGGTGGCCCCCACGGCCTACACGGCCTCCTCTTCTCCCCATAGAGCCAAGGGATGTGGCTCGGCTACCCCCCACGGAAGCTCCCGCAGCTAGTCCCCTAGGGTTGTTCCTCATCGGCATACGTCTACCCTCCATTTCTATAAAGAAATTTGAATGAGTCGTTAGACTCCAATCAATGTCAATTGACGGAACACGTTATACACACATATCGGCCCAAGTCACCTCCATACCAATTGTTAAGGGTACCATCTTAACAACTAGAGGCCTTGCAACCTAGGTAACAATAGTTCTATGAACGTCAAAATACAATGCTCATGGTTTTCGGTAAAAATTTCCTTTTTGCAAAATTTCATGTGAGAGGTTGATTACATAGTTTAGAACTGCGATGGCTCTGATACCACTTAATTGTCACGCCCTAGACCACATCTAAGCGTGTGTACAACCACTGTGTGATTAAGTGACGTCACTCGCAAGTCAACCTCACATAATCACACAAGGCGTTCATGAACATCATTAACACCATACTCAGTAGTAAACATACATAGCAACATCACATCATAGATTGAATGAATAGCGGAAAATATTCAACGGTCAACCATAAGCCACATATGGCAAAACGTAGGCTCGCAGGCCAAAACAATGTAATATTACAAAAGTATCCATGAGCATAGTTTATGATTAAAAAAAATAAAGGAGGCACGAACCACGTCTTCCTCTAGATTCTTTCCACCCGTGCAAAGGTGTAGACAACAGGCTCTAGCTTCAACCTGAAATGGTGGGCCCCCCGAAGGGGTCAGTACAAGTACCGAGCGAGTAGCAAGCTAAATGTAGAGTAACTAACGTTTCAAGTATATGACCCAAACATAGGGTGATACATATACTTATACTTCCTTACCCCAAGTTACAAAATACGTATCAGTACTTATATACACTTGGAAATACCCGACCCGTAGGTCATTGTTTAATTGGGAAAAATAATAGTAGTCAATGTCCTTGACTTAAAACCTCAACCTACCCATAGATCTATGAGTGTATAGGACTCCTCCTGTCCAAATCAAATAATCATAAGGACACCGCCCGGTCCTGAATTACTAAATAGTAATCTATGAGTTTTGAGGATACACGCCCGATCCTTGGGTACTCCACCCTATATAACCGAGTTTTGAGGATACCGCCCGATCCTTGGGTACTCCACCCTATATAACCGAGTTTTGAGGATACCACCTGATCCTTGGGTACTCCACCATATATAACCGAGTTTTGAGGATACCGCCCGATCCTTGGGTACTCCACCCTATATAATCGAGTTTTGAGGATACTGCCCGATCCTTGGGTACTCCACCCGACCTATGATCTACCACATATCATACTAGATAGGGCCTATATCATAATCAATAAACAAGACTAGACCAAGTCTTAAGACCTAAACAAAATCATTCATGCAATTCATGCATTAAAATTAGCATATAGGCAAAGTAAGGCCAAACCGGTGTCGGTTCAAATCTGACCTGTGCCGGTTCGTAGTCAAATAATATGAGCCGGGCTAAACCCGCTTGAACCGGCGCCAGTTCTATGCATGACCGGCGCCGATTGCCCTTGGGCAACCGGTCAACCCTCGGTTGACCCGCTATTTCAAATCCATAAAATGTCAAACTTAATTACAACATGTATTAAGTTATATACAACCATAATATGCACCATTTATCTCTAAACATGTCACATATGTTTTTATAAACGTTTTCATATCACAATTCATGTATATCTTAATAGTTCATTTCATACAAGCCTAATCACTTTGGCTAATCACATGTTTAATCTCATTTAAACATTATTATGAACACATATAACATTTACTTAGGTAATCTCATGCTTAACCCAAGAGTTACAAGACATTAAGCCATCCACTCACCTTAAATGAGCTTTAGCGTGTTCTACGCTCCTTGGTTGAACTCCGGTGAAACTCCGGCGAACTCCGACGAACTCTAGAAACACTCTATTTAAGCTCCTAACATGGTTTTATCATCACAAAACTCATATCAATACAACTAACCTCTAAAAGGTTATTTTTTCGGCGAACCGGTCGTTTTGGCTTCTAAGTCTGTTCTTGGACTTAGAACTACCTTTCAACCCCTTGTTCTACACCTCTAAACATGTATAAAAACCCTAGGGGTCCTTCATATGCTATATAAGCCATATGATAAATGAAAAGCTATTACAAGCTTATTACCTTAATATTCCACACTTTTCCTAACGTTTTCCTTCTTCAAGCTTCCTCTTTTTACCAACCTTGCTTGAGCTCGAATTCAACGATGGAGAAAAAATGGGAGAACTTCTTCTTACTCTTTCTTGGGTAGCTTGGCCGAAATAATGATGATGGGAGAGGGGGATGTTCACTTTTTGTCTTAATTGGCAAATAAGTGATGGGAGGGGGGGTCATCTATGTACCTTAGATGCCAATAGCATCTTTTCAGCTCCCTCCCTTGCCAAACTAGCCCCCTCACATTAACTTGATCACAAAAAAACGTGGGGTGGCCCCCACTCATGTGGGAGGTCATCCATTTGTGTCCCGAAATGTACAATCGGTCCCGAAAGTTGTATTTTTCGGATTGTTATAATTATATTTTATTTTATCAGGCCAAATAAAATATATTGTGTGATTTAAATCACCATGGACCTTTATAATGATTGTAGATTCCTCAACTTTAATTTAGAAGTCTCCGAAATTCAATTCGGACTGTTATCCGGTAAATTACCAATACCGATAATTGGGCTTCAATTGACCGACGGGTCAACCCTAAGCCCTTTCTATGGCCTAACTAAAATATATACCACCATATAAATATTATATAGACCAAGATGAATATAATATGTGGTCCTTGGATTACCGGACGGTCCCCGCTCCATGTGTGGGCCCCACGTGCAGTTCACTATTCACGCGAAAGAAATAACCAAAAATTCACAACCACGTAAATTCATAAATCAATATTCAAGATTTATTACATTATTTACTAAAAAGTAAATATATTTGGGGACGGTGTTACAAGTTCACTCCCCCTTATTTGGGATTTCGTCTCCGAAATCACGTGTCTAATCGAAAAGAAACGGGTATTGCTCCCTCATTGAGACTTCGGTCTCCCAGGTTTCTTCTTCGACTCGATCACTCCTCCAAAGTACCTTCACCATAGGAATCTCCTTGTTCCTAAGCTTCTTTACCTGTTGACCCACTATCTTCACCGGTTCCACTGCGTATTGTAAGTCCTCTCGGATCTCTACCGGCGGTCTCTCAAGAATATGTGACGGATCTCGTACATACTTCTTGAGCATCGATACATGGAACACGTCATGAATCTTTTCAAGTTCAGGTGATAACTTGAGACGATAAACCACGGCCCCAATCCTCTCAAGAATTTAAAACTGACCAATGTATCGGGGGTTAAGCTCATCCCTCGATATGAATCACATGATACCTTTCCAAGGAGAAATCCTTAGAAACACCTCACCACCAACTGTAAATTCTAACGGTCTACGTCGTTTATCGGCATAGCTCTTTTGCCGATCTTGGGCAGCCTTAAGTCTATCTCGAATAACCTTCACCTTAGCCTTGGTGATCTCGACAAGTTCTATACCTTCGAGCTTGGCCTCGTCAACCTCGTCCCAACACAACGGCGTCATGCATTTCCTCCCATACAATGCCTCGTATGGAGGCATGCCAATACTCGCCTGATAACTGTTGTTATAGGCAAACTCCACTAGTGCCAAATGTTTGTACCAACTTCCCTGGAACTCTAAAGCACACACCCTAAGCATGTCTTCCAAAATCTGTATCACCCACTCGGATTGTCCATCCGTCTGAGGGTGAAACGCCGTGCTAAACTCCAGTTTAGTCCCCAATGATGCTTGGAACTTTGGCCAAAACCTATATGTGAATCTTGGGTCCCTATCCGAGATGATGAATATTGGAACTCCATGTAACCTCACAATCTCCTCCGTGAATAACTTGGCCAAACGTTCAAGAGGATAAGTGATGTTGATAGGTAAGAAGTGTGCACTTTTGGTAAGCCTATCAACCACCACCCACACTACATCGTAATTGTTCACCGTCCGTGGTAACCCTACCACAAAGTCCATGGTGACATGTTCCCACTTCCATTCTGGAATGGTAAGTGGCTGCAAAAGTCCCGCCGGGTGCTGATGCTCCGCCTTAACTTGTTGACAAGTAAGACATCGGCTCACATACTCCGCGATGTCTCTCTTCATACCAGACCACCAATAACTTTCCTTCAGGTCTCGGTACATCTTTGTACCTCCTGGATGCATAACATAGGTTGAAGAATGGGCTTCCTCGAGTATGGATTTCCGGAGCTCCTCATTATGTGGTACGCATACGCGATCTTTGAACAATAAAAGGCCATCATCACGTACCCGAAAATCCTCAACGGGTCCCGCAAGGATCCGTTCGCGGACCTTCTGACATTCCTCATCAATGCCTTGACCTCTACTGATCTCACTCAACAACGTAGGTCTAACCTCAAATCTCGCTATGAGTGCCCCGCTCGAGGACACCTCCACGTGTGCCCGTAACGCTTGTAGGCATGTGAGTAACATCCCGACGTACTCTTCTTGCTCAGTGCATCGGCCACAACGTTGGCCTTACCGGGATGATAGTCGATGATCAAGTCATAGTCCTTGATCAACTCCATCCATCTCCTTTGCCTCATATTCAACTCTTTCTGAGTGAATACATACTTCAAGCTCTTATGATCGGTGTAGATGTGACATGTCTCCCCGTAGAGATAATGCCTCCAATTCTTTAGTGCAAACACTACCGCCCCCAACTCTAGGTCGTGGGTAGGGTAGTTCACCTCGTGTTTTCTCAATTGCCTAGAAGCATAGGCAATCACCTTACCCTTCTGCATTAGTACACATCCAAGCCCTTGGATGCTAGCATCACTATAAATATCATACCCAATACCTTGTATTGGTAGGGCAAGAACTGGTGCCTCGGTAAGTCGTTTCTTTAGCTCAAGAAACCCTTTCTCACATTTGTCGTCTCATACGAACTTAGGCCCCTTCTTCGTGAGCTTCGTTAGTGGTGACGCCAACACGGAGAATTTCTCAACAAATTTACGGTAGTAACCCGCTAAGCCAAGGAAACTACGTATCTCCTTCACATTCTTGGGTTGTTCCCAATTCATAATGGCTTCTATCTTTGCATTGTCCACCGCAACTCCTAATCCAGTTATGACATGACCGAGAAATCCAATCTCTTTAAGCCAAAATTCACATTTAGAGAACTTGGCAAAGAGTTGTTTTTCTCTTGGCCTTTCAAGCACCAGTCTCAGGTGATGCTAATGCTCTTCTTCGTTCTTCGAATATATCAAGATGTCATCAATGAATACAATCACAAACTGATCTAAGTACTCATTAAACACACGGTTTATCAAATCCATGAATGCCGCTGGTGCATTGGTTAAACCAAACGACATCACAAGGAATTCGTAATGACCATATCTAGTGCGAAATGCACTCTTCGGTATGTCACTCTCCTTTATCTTCAATTGATGGTAGCCCGACTTCAAATCAATCTTTGAGAACACTATCTCCCCCCGAAGTTGATCAAACAAGTCATCAATCCTTGGTAAGGGATACCTATTCTTGATTGTGACCTTGTTCAACTATCGGTAGTCAATACACATTCTTAGTGAACAATCTTTCTTTTTCACGAAGAGTACCGGTGCTCCCCACGGTGAATGACTAGATCTAATGAACCCGTTATCCAATAACTCCTGTAATTGGACTTTCAACTCTTGAAGTTCCGCCGGTGCCATTCGATAAGGAGGAATCGAAATGGGTTTAGTTCCCGGCTCAACTTCAATCACGAACTCGATCTCTCTATCGGGTGGAAGCACTGGTAAGTCTTTGGGGAAGACGTCCGGGTACTTACACACAACACGTACATCGTTGATGTCGACCTCCTTCTTGGTCCCATATACCACGTAAGCAAGGTACGCGTGGCAACCTTTCTTCATCACGGATATGATACAACTTTGAAATCTCCCTCGATCTCCCTCGAAACGTATGGTGTTTCGCCTCATCATCCTCAAGCTCTAAGACCTTGGTGTAGCAATCAACTCTAGCATGATGCTTTTCGAGCCAATCCATCCCTAGGATCGCATCAAACTCCAACATACTTAGAGGTACGAAATCACAAGTCAAAGGTTGACCCGTCACTTCTACCTCACACGATTCATAATAGTGGTCCCTCTCCACATCATCTCCTAATGGTGTGGAGACTAACAAGGTCTGAGTCATCGGCGTCAATGGCACGTCAATACCTTCGGCAAACGCTTCGCTCACAAAAGAACGTTGCGCCCCCGGTATCAATGAGAATTCTTGCGTTTCTTCCATTGATCAAGAGTGTTCCTACATTTACAGATGATGTAAGACACCCTACCCGAAGTACCGAATCAAAACCGAGCTAATAAGTTTTTTTAAGTTGTACTGGACCAGCACCGGTTCTGGGCCTAACCGGCGCTGGTTGGGCCGAATTTGTTTTTTTTTGTCGGAAATGGGGTACGCACGCGTGCGTCCCTTCCCACGCACGCGTGCGTGGGTGGCAGTAGGGTAACAGAGTGTTTTATCGTAACGAACGGCGCCGGTTGGCCCAAAAACGAGGGACGCACGCGTGCGTCCCTTCGCACGCGCGCGTGCGTGGGTGCCAGTAGCGTTTTGGACGCTACGTCCGGCGCCAGTTGGATGGAGAACGGCGCCGGTTGGGCCCTGGGCAGCCCCTTCCCCTTTTTCTTGCTCCTTTTACTTAGAAACCGACCGGAAAGGTCACCGGCCGGCCCGTACAACCCCGTTATCACTTCTAACACATTAATACATGTATTTTATCAAGCATTAGCAAGGGATTACCTGCAACAGAGTTGGGGTTGGCCCGAGCATCAACCTCGGTCATCGCGTAGACCCTTGCTTGGGCCCCGCCTTGGTTAACGGACGCGGTGTTGCTCATTGACACGCCGCCTCTTCCTGCGCCACCGTGTGACGGTCCTGCACGGTTCCTTCCCGTCATGGCCCCTCCTCTGGCTCCCGATGCATTTCCTTGTGTCAATTGAGGCCAATTGGCCTCCATATGGCCCACATTCCCACACTTGAAACACCTCGGTGGTTCATTGCACTTCCCAAAGTGTTGTTTGGTGCAATTGAGGCATCTAGGTGCCCTCGAATTCTATGGCCTGGGTCCGTGCCACCTTGCATCTTTACTCTTCTTTGTCGGCGGCGCCGGTGGTCTAAATGAAACACCACCGCCGTGGTTGTTCTTCCGTGAATGGTCGGGTTGCCCCGGATTGTTCCACTTCCTCTTTTTCGCCTCCTCGGCATCGCTTTCCTTTCTC